CCATTAGGCCACAACAGCACTTGATAAATATTCGAAATAAATCTGTAATCAAGGAAATAATGAAACTCTGCATAGAACACTGCAGCTCGCACGGTGGGAGTTTCGCGGGGTTGTAAGGCCCGTTTACGCGGATGCGACAATGTTGCTGGGATGCGGCCTACTCTAAATTAACCAGTTAGCTGTGGCGCCCCCTTTTGAGAGCGCGCACCCATATGTGTCGCGAAAATCGAGCGACGACGAGTATACTCGTCGATCACAGAGTAAGTGTCGCTGTTAAAATATTGGATCAAAAAGATGAGTTTATTTTATAAAATTGACAATTTTATTACCAATATTTACTTATTTGGTCAACATCTATTCTCTTATTGGTTAGTTTCTATGGATATCTATGAATTTTAGTGACCGTCAAAAAATAGCTAGGTAACTTCGGGCCAGCAGCCATCAATGGGCTCAGTGCCTGGTCAGCGTCACGCGTTTGTCCAGTGGCGGACCATCCCTGAAGGAACCCTATCGTAAATCAGCTTTCCGGCTTTTGCTTTTGCCCCTTTCACGCACTTCTATGGATATCTATGAATTTTAGTGACCGTCAAAAAATAGCTAGGTAACTTGGGGCCAGCAGCCATCAATGGGCTCAGTGCCTGGTCAGCGTCACGCGTTTGTCCCGTGGCGTACCATCCCTGAAGGAACCCTATCGTAAATCAGCTTTCCGGCTTTTGCTTTTGCCCCTTTCACGCTAACATCTAAAAATCGTTATCATCGCGCATAAATAAATTCGTTATGCGAACTGATAAGCTGTTTCAGCCGGTGCATACGGAGACGCATGAGTTCATCTCAAATTATTCATATTTTTTATTCGTTTATTTTATTCCGGCCCGGTCTGAAAATATTCTAAACATCTTGAAATTTGAGAATGCGTTTTATTTTTCACAAAAATTACAATTTAAATAGCCAATGTCACTACTTTTTACGCATGGCGAGCCACCGCCAGAAAATGGGGGCCCTGGAATGTTTGATATATTAATTAATGTGGAGCTTCGAAATTTTATCAAATGGCGACTGAAAGGTGCCTCTCGAGTGCAAAGGGTTAAAAGTTGGACAAGTTTCGAAAAGTTTTCCTGATTCTATTGATATTTGCAACTGGTGGTATGAAGATTTCAAAGGGTGTGTTGTGGGATAGTTGGGTTGATTGGCTTGGTGGATGTTGGGAGGTGAAGGGGGTGGATAGTAGAAGAAGGAGGGAGGCAGAATTGGGGAGATGTCGAAGGAAAGATAGTTCAGGGAGTATTTTTAAGAATGGGTGAAGGTGGAGTATAGGAACTCGATAGAGCTTCATAGCGATAGAGAAGAAGGGAGGGAAGGAGGAAGATTAGATGGGTAGAATGTTGAAGGAACCTAATTTCTGAGAACTTCTGCGAAATATTCGTTGACATCTGATTTTAGGAATAATTCGACGAATTATTCTAAAGGAAGCACAGAAAAGGATTGCAGAAAAGAGTAGATCAGATGAATGGAGCCCAGAAGAAAGGATAAGGAGGATACGAGGAGAAGATAGAGTAAGCCTGCTTCCTCAGACGATTTTAATAATAATTCTTCAAATATTTTAACGGGAGCCCGATAGTACAGTGTCTAGAAGAATAACAAACCCAGGTGGAGTCTGAAAGAGTAGCGAAGAAGAAGCTATATAGGGGAAATATAGAGTAATCTTGCTTCCTGAAAGGATTCCAAGAATAATTTTTCGAATATCTTATCGGGAAATCAATAGGGTACTGTCTGAAAGAATAAGAGAGCCAAGTAGAGCCTGGAAAAATAGCGAAATAGAAGATAAACAGAGGAAAGATAGAATAAGGGAATAACTTATGGAATATTTTATTGGGAATTCAAAAGTGGGATGTCAAAAGAATAGAAGAGCCAAATAGTATCTGAGAAAGTACAGAAATAAAAGATAAATAGAGGAAAGATAGAATAAGAGAATAATTGGTGGAATAGTTTATCGGGAACTCAAAAGTGGGGTGTCAAAAAGCATATAAGGCCCAAATGAAGTCTCTAAGAAGTGGGAAGATAAACTAACCTTCCTTCCTGGCAGGATCCCAAGAATGATTTTTCGAATATTATATCTGGAACTCAAAAGTGGGATGTCAAAAAGCATATAAGATTTTATCGGGAACTCAAAAGTGGGATGTCAAAAAGCATATAAGGCCCAAATGAAGTCTCTAAGAGCGGAAAAGATAAAATATCCTTCCTTCCTGACAACATCCCAAGAATGATTCTTCGAAAACTATATCTGGAGCTCAAAACTGAGATGTCAGAAAGAATATGAGGCCCAAATGAAGCCTGAAAAATACAAGAAGATAAAGTATCCTTCCTTCTTGATAGAATCCTAAGAATAATTCTCGAAATATGATATCTAGGACTCAAACGTGGCCTGTCTAAAGGAATATAAGGCCCAAATGAAATCTCTAAAAGAGGGGAAGATAAACTAACCTTCCTTCCTGACAGGATTCCAAGAATGATTTTTCGAATATTATATCTGGAACTCAAAAGTGGGATGTCAAAAAGCATATAAGGCCCAAATGAAGTCTCTAAGAGCGGAAAAGATAAAATATCCTTCCTTCCTGACAGGATCCCAAGAATATTTCTTCGAATACTATATCTAGAACTCAAAAATGGGATGTCAAAAATGAATATGAGGCCCAAATGAAGCCTGCAAAATACAAGAAGATAAAGTATCCTTCCTTCTTGATAGAATCCTAAGAATAATTCTCGAAATATGATATCTAGGACTCAAACGCGGCCTGTCTAAAGGAATATAAGGCCCAAATGAAATCTCTAAAAGAGGGGAAGATAAACTAACCTTCCTTCCTGACAGGATTCCAAGAATGATTTTTCGAATATTATATCTGGAACTCAAAAGTGGGATGTCAAAAAGCATATAAGGCCCAAATGACGTCTCTAAGAGAGGGGAAGATAAAATATCCTTCCTTCCTGACAGGATCCCAAGAATATTTCTTCGAATATTATATCTAGAACTCAAAAATGGGATGTCAAAAAGCATATAAGGCCCAAATAAAGTCTGAAAGAGAGAAAGATAAAGTATCCTTCCTTTCTGATAGGATCCCAAGAATAATTCTTGGAATATTATATATGTAACTCAAAAATGGGATGCCAAATGAATTCTCTAAAAGAGGGGGAGATAAACTAACCTTTCTCCCTGAACAATTCTTCGAATATTATACCTGTAACACAAAATTGTAGCATCGCGAAGCATCCAAGACCGAAATGGAGTCCGCAAGAGTGGGGACAGAGAAAACAGGGGGAAGATAGAAGAAGCTTGCTCGCCGGGAGGATTTCTGAGGAATAATTGTCGGAATATTTTAACGGGAGCTGAAAAGCGGAGTGCGGAAAAGAGGAGAAGAGAGGAGAGTAAAAGCCTGGAGAAAAGAGAAAGAGGAGCGAGGGGGAAGATAGGGGGAGCCCACGGCGGAGGTGGTTCGGTGGCGTTGTCCCACGGGGCGACCCACCGTTCGACTTCTCCCCGCCTTATATAAACCGGCGATCCAGCCACGCTTTGCTGCTCGTTTTGCTCGATTTCGATTGCGCCGGCCCAGAAGAAGCTGCTGAACACGCTGGAACATTGCTCGCAATTTAAATAAATTCACCGTGTCCCCGTGGCTCTGCTCTCAACGGGCACGGTTCCTGCCTTTCTTCCACTGCTCCCCCGGGCCCTCGTCCACCCTGGGCTCTTCGTACCTCTGCCTCGTTTTCGAGAACGCGAGCAACCGTGTCGCGACTCTGGCAACTCCGAGACTGCGGTACAAGCAGCCTTGCAGCTTTTAAAATCTTCGAAAACCGGAAGATCGAGGTCTCCACCGGTTCATCCGTCGATCCTTGCGTTTCCAACGCGATCTCACAACGTTAGGATCTGCGATATATAGTCGCTCCTGAGATTTCCATGAGCTAAAAGCCAGGACATGGGAATTAAGCTAATTTTTGGCTAGGTAGTCTTGGTCGATGAAGGATTATTCGTGGGATTGGAATGTCATTAGTTTGACCAAGCTGACACTTTGCTGCGGAGATTGAGATAGGTTTCCTTTCTCGATGGAATTTCAATGCTTCTACATCTTCGAGTGATAGTCTAATTTGATCGATTGCGTGATCTTGGATACGAACTTTGACTCACTGGAATCCAAACGCGTCGATGTAGCGAAGGATGACTAGTGACCCTAAGGTCTGTGCGCGGCAAGAAACCGAGGCAAAAACGCGCCAAGTCCTAGTTGCATGCTAATACTAATTGCGAATTCTTTCATTAATCATGGGTTTCCAATCATTAGGATTGGAACACGACGAAGGTTCCTTCTAAGATTTTCGAAAAGCCAGGAACGAGATGAAAACTTCAATTCCTCGCAAATTCCTGTCAATTTCGGACGTTGGAATTTAGGCACAGTATAGCAAACGGTGCAAAAATCATGCAATATTTCCCATAAGCTATTCAGACCATAGAATTCTGACCTAACGTGAGAACAGAGGAGATTTAGAGTCTGCTAAAATCATCGCACAGGATCATAGCCTTATCTGGTCACTGGCAACCATGGTATTTAGCCTAATGCATGAACCTTTTGCACTCCACGGGTGCCATTATGGGAACATTAACATAGTTAATTAACATAGTTGGTTGTACGATTCTATTTTGATCAATGCTGATGGGAAATGAGGATCTTCAGTGTAACTCAAACCCTCAGAATTCGGGTATTCCTGAATAAGGTAGCTTCATCCTGTCACTGTAAGTCTCTTAGACCTTGACTCTACTGACAGTAGACCTGACGACCTAAGTATATTTAGCTGAACAAGTTTCAATCCGAGTAAAAGTCAGTATAAATTTTGTCAGAAGCAGCTATATGGAACTATAATCACCGTGACTCCTTTGGTACCATGAAAAGCAAGACAGACATTGGATCACTTGCAAGTTAACAGTTCCTAGACCTGACCTTCAGGTACCTTGACCTATGAGGATCCAAACTAACCACCAAGAGAAGTCACAAACCTCCCAAGATTCGAATTACATGCACTCTATGGTGAGTTTCCAAAGAGATCTATTGTTTTTCACCTGATCTTCTTCATTTCGCATCTTTGGCTCCCAAAATTACGAAGAAACGGAGGTTCCTGGTAGATGGCACTGATCCGTCCCAATTATGGCGAGTTTTCAAAGAAATCTATTCGTCAGCTGATCCTCTTCATCTCTCATCTTTGGCTACGAAAAATGAGGAAGAAACGGAGCTTCGTAGCAATGATCCCAATGATCCGTGCTAATAATGGTGAGCTTCCTCTCTCTCTTTCTCTTTTACTCTCTCTTTCTCTTTATTTCTGTGGATATCCTTGGAAACATCGGAATTCGGGCGCAATAGCAAGCGGGACCGGGTGAACGATAAGGAACGCGGCCTAGGCTAGGTGCAAGCGTCCAGGCGGTGTAGGATGACGAATTAAGGCCTGGTGGTTGTAGTGATTAGAAAGGAAGGCAGAGATCGACGGGACGGCGTGGCCGGCTACGTCACTGGCGCGGCGGGCACGCGGTGAAAATCGTTTGCCACGTCGATCCGGCGTTCTGCGTTGCGCGTCGAGCGGATGGAAGATGAGTGAAAGGTTGCCTGGCCGGACCAAGGTCTGTTCAATGTCTCGTCCCGGCTTCGCCAGAATAGCGACGATGCCGTAGAAAACGATTGCATTAAAACGACGATCCTGTCCCGCAATAACGATAAATCCCTCCCCACCGAGGGTGGTCTGGTTGATTTATTTGGACGAAAAGTAATTAAGGAATTAATTGAATCCCGTCCACGGAAAATCTCCCCGCCGCGTCCTACGAACACGGGGGAAAAGCGTTGCTCTATTTTCCTACGGCCCTGCGAGATTAATTAGATAGCACGTGATCCTCTTTCTCGACCGGACGCGAGTTTGTTTTCCGATACGTTGTAACGCCGGTTTACGCGCGTTGATCCGCCTCCCGTTCGCATATTCCCGGACCAAAAAGTGGTCTACAGGCTGTTGAATCGCGCGACACAAAGAGTCTATTGCGATGTCCTTTTGCTTCGTTAAATACCAGCGCGCGATCCCATCGATGCGTCTTCCCTTAATAGAATATTATTCATCGGCGGGCGGCGCATGCGCGGCGGCCGTCGCGCATGCGCAGCCGCGCCACGCCAGTCGGCCGTCCCGTGGCATTCGACCGATCGGTCCGCGCGATTCGTTCGATCGGGAACGGCGAATTCGCGGTCGGGGACAGAAATCCTTGGCTGCGACATCGGAGCCGGGCATTCGTCTTAGCCGACTTATCGAACGCGGGCTGCACGCGTGTCCGCGTAACTAGGCTGTTTATCATATAGATTGGCCGGCATACTCGCGGCTAGCGCACGCCACGCTCCCTCCTGTTGCGCCGTCGATACGTGAGAACCCGTGACAAGGTTCGTGGAACGCGCGTGCAATCCTCCCCGATCGATTTCCCTTTCTGTAACCAGCCGAGGAAAAAGACGGCCGGCCGACCTTTGTTTCCAACTTTCCTGGAAAAGGATACACTCACCGGCGGCCCTGAGCCGCGAGCAAGGGTTATCGGGGAAAAATCCGAGTGGAAAACCTGTCGGCGAGTCGCGGAGAGAGTCATTAATATTAATCGGACAAATCTGACCGCGTTCACGTGGCTGGCAACGGCTGTGATTTTCGCACGACCTCGTCAAGGCAGCGCGCTTCCTACGGCTCCTATTCCAGCAGGATCGAGCGGAGGATCGTGGAAAGCTGCCGACTGCGAATCTCTATGACTGTTTTGCACGAACCCTCGCATCGTTCGTATCCTTCTCTGAGCCGGTGGTCAGGACGAGGAGCGGAAAACCTGGGAATAAGGCGAGAGAGACGCAGCGAGAATGGAAGAGGGATGGAGGAAAGAGAGACAAAAGGGGAAGGAGAACGTGCACCGAGAGCGGGTCGAGCGCGCGCTAGTGTTAGGAATGTGGTACCACTGCTTGTCACAGTCACAAGCGCACGCTGCACGGTACCACCGGTACGTTGTATTATGCGGCTGCGGTTGCATATAAGTGCAGCGCGAGTAGTGGCCCGGTAGGCGTACGACGCCTCGCGCGTTCATCTATATCGAACGCTTTGCCGAACGCTGGCCACGTAGTCGCTTGCCTGCCTGCGACGTATATACGATAATTGGCCGTGGCACGAACAGGTTTCGAGAGCCGAGCTTCCCTGTGGAAATTCGCGTACTTTTCGCGGAGTCCCCGAGTCTGAGATTTTGGCGGACCGTGGAACGGTGTTACGGGTGTATGTATGGTACGCGTGTGTACAAGTAGGTTTGGGTTGGATGTGGACGGCGAGGGATCGGCGGAGGTGTATGGACGGTGATATTTAAGGTTGGTCGTTCTATCGGACACGATACGGCGGAGGTGTATCGCATAACAGGCATAGTTTCCTGGCTGAAATCACGTGGCATAAATTATCACGTATATCACCGCGGCGATGCAATCGGCGCGCACGTAGGATCGGAAACGCAATTAAAATAAAATCAGGGTCCCGGCCGGTACGATCGCGAGCGCTGGCTCGCTCGTTCGCCGCGAGGGAACTGCGCGTCGAATCGATGCCCCTCCCATTGTTTTCAAAGAGAATTGCTGTAAATCGGAGGATTACCAGACCGGCCGGGAGAGATCGAGACTTTTCCGGCCGGATCGTACGAGTACGAGTAAACGATCGTTTTACGAGCGTAGGCCCGATAACGATCTACGTGTATCCTTGACTAAATCGTGACTAGAAGCGGAGGGAGTGCGCCGATACAAGCTCGATACAAACATTGTTCTCATCGGGATACAAATTGCTCGTATGCCGATGCGGCGAGGGCCCCGTTGGTACAGGGAATAAATAAAATCGGCCGGCTAAAGGGGGGGTCGGCGGGGAGGTCGCCGGACGATGTCCTTAAATAGACAAGCTCGTTCCCGCAACGATTCCATCGGTTCAAGGATTTTCGGTGATCCCAGGCTTAATCCCTTTGACGGATCCTCGGAACGATTCCCCGATGGACGGCCGAGCGAAGACTCTCCGTCGCGCGCCGTCCGACACAGTTCCGCACGGGCGGACGGCAATTCCACCGGCGAGCAATCGATTCGTACGTAAATATCACTCCGATACGCAATGCATTCCGATCGCGCGCAATTCCATTCATGCGCTATACATCCGCGGGCAATTCCGCTCACGAGCGATCGATTCGTTCGAAAATATCGCTCCGATACGCGATACGTTCCGATCGCGCGCAATTCCATTCATGCGCTATACATCCGCGGGCAATTCCACTCACGAGCAATCGATTCGTTCGAAAATATCGCTCCGATACGCAATACGTTCCGTCCACGCGTGTCGGATTCACGCGCAATTCCGTGCATGCGTCGTAGATTCGCGGGCAATTCCGCCGACGAGCAATCGTTTCGCGCGAAAATATCACTCCGATACGCGATGGATTCCGTTCGTGCGGGTCGTATTCGCGCGCAATTCCATCGGCGCGAAATAGATTCGCGGGAAATTCCGCCGGCTTCGGGCGTAGCCGCGCGCAACTCCGTCCCGCGGGGAACGGGATAGCACCGCGATCTCGCCGACGCATCGCTGACTCGCGCAATTCCAACGATGCGAAGTTTATCCCGACGTGATTCGATCGACGGACAGGATACACTCGCGTGCAATTCTATCGCCGAGTGCAGACTCGCCGCGCAATTCCACGCCCGCGTTAGGGACCATCGGCGCAATTCCAAATTCGCGGTGCAGTACCTCGCAACATTTCTCCCGCGTACGATGGGTTCGAGCGCATTGCGGTGCACGTGGTATTCTCGCGCCCGCAATTCCAACTACGCGCTGCGGAATCTCGCGCAATTCCGTCGTCGCCGAGCGGATTCGCGCCCAACTTCATCGGCGCGCGACGGCACACCGGCCAATTCCACGCTCGCGCGACGGATCCTTCCGCAATTCCGCGGAAACGCGACGCGCAGCAATCGCGCGCTACGCCCGTCTATTCCGATCTCTCGCGGAAACGCGGTGCGCCCACGCGCAATTCCATCAGCGGCTCGCGAGCCCAGCCCGCAGGCAATTCCAGGGTGAAGGTAACGCGCCGGGATATCGGCGACGCGATAACGGGGACGTGGAACGAGAGGAAAAGGAAACGGCCTCGCAGCGGCGGACCGACCGATACCGTAGGCTGGCCACGCAAGATGCGTCTGTCGGGCCATGGAGCGTTATTAATTAACCCGATAGGGTGATTAACGAGCGAACTCGCGACCGCCGGTGCGCGCGCACAGTGCGTCTTTCATCCGGATCGATTCCGCCTTTCGCCGAATCAGTCGGTTTTCGCGGAATCGGCGAACAATCGGGGACACGGTCCGCGCTGGAGAGGAAGTTGACCGAGCAGATTTATCGGGCCGCGAGTTTACGAGGAGCGAACATAACGGTGTATAGACTCTCGGGGTATATCGATCGCGAGGTGACGCGCGCGCGGCACCCGGCCACGGTGGCTCGATTCCGATGACCGGCTATTATGCAAGCGGTTCCGAGAAATCGAGGCTGAAAAGCGAAAGAAGAAGGACAACGAGCCGATGGGCGGCGTACGGCTGCGAGTCGGATACTGGAACAGGGAACGATAATAATTACTCCCGCGCCGTCTGTCACGAGCGATCGATAACTCGCCGGCAATTAACTTTGAAAAATCGTCCCGAGTCACGTACGATCCGGTTTCCTACGGATCACGCCGCCCCTCCCTCCGCGCCCACCCCCTCCACCGTACCCAATGCCCCGTCTTTCTCCTCGCGGACCTCCATTAGATTCGTCCCGTTCGCGCGTCCAAAGGGCGCTTCGATCGCTTTCTCTGTATCCACGCGATAGCAAATATCCGTCGCTTCGATCCATTTCCCGTGGGAAGTCGAAAAACGAGCGATCACCTTCTAGGAATCGAAATCGGCCGGTCGCACGCTGGGATCCACGGACGTTCATGGGGATCGTTCGGGCGAAGGAACGACTCGAGCGACTGCTCAACCGGGACACCCGTGCACGCATTGTTGAGCGATTAGGCGGTTGGAACTGCGTAGGATATTCCCCCTCGTGTGCCGGCCTTGATCGAATCGCCTGCGAGAGGACTGGTTCCATCGAATCGCAACTACGACTCACGAGTCCTACGCAGAAAACCCTCTATCTTCCCGGCGACCAACTTACGAGCATCGTGATCGAGAGGGTAGCGGTGGTAGCTCGGCGTGCATGGCGAAACGGTAAAAGCGCGAGACGCGCAGCGGCCAGCCGCACCGATTGGCCGTGTAATCGGCGCGCGCAGGGGTGTCAGGGTGGGGGTGAGAGCGAACCCGCGAGCCGGCCGGGAACCGGTTGCCTCGAGGCACACAACCGTGGACACTGACGGATATGACATTTCTGAAGTTCGTGGCCATCTACGTTTCTCTTCTCGTTCCTTTTACCCGAGAGCTTCGTTCCCCGTGCGCTTCCATCCTCGTCCCATCGACGTCCTCCTTTTATTTCGATTCGATTTTTCTGCCGGTCTTGTTCCCTTATTATCTCGTTTTGCTCGTCTCCGGCCCACGTCAGTTTGTCTCTCTTTCTCCGGCTCTTCCTGCCCGCTGCTCCCCGGCCGTTCCGCGTGCATTTCATTTTGCCCCTTCCGCCAGCGCCCTCTCGGCCCCTCGGCGCGCACAAACCCGGTCGCTCCGGTCTCCGGAGGGAGGCTCTTCCTTCCACCCGGCGGTTCCAATCGTGCTTTTATTTCCTGTCGGGCTTCTTGCCGCCCCTTTTTCGTTCGGCCGTTGCGCGCGGCCTCCGCGCGGCTCCTCTTTCACGTCCTCCATCGTTCTCGCGTCGTTCTCGCGTCATTCTCGAAATTCAACGCTCCGTCCGAGTCAATTCCATCTACGGCGTCCACCTATCCCGCCACACCCCTGTCCGTCGAAATTTCCCATTCGCACGGAGAACCACCCCCGGGTCGAAGGCCGGCTCGTCCCTCGTTTAATAACCATTAGACCCCGCTCAGGTCGCGAGACGATTTTCACCCAAAGAGAAACAGAGACAGAGCTTCCACCCCGACGTGTCGTAGGCCGGGGGGCGCGAAGGTGAAAGGCTGGACGCGGCGAGGGTGTGAAAGATCTAGAGCAGATAGAGGCCTCTATATTGATGAGCTGGCTCTCCGCGTATTGATTCCAACGCGGAGGGGTTTTTCGCCGGGGCCCGGAGCACCCTGCAGACCCCTTTTGCTACGCGCCAGCCCCGATAAGATCCGGTAGATAAGCCATGATTACACACCGCGTCGAGCCACCCCTCTCGTCGCGTTTTTCCCGCTCACCCCGCCGCCGACTGTGTAAACAGTCTTCCACGTTGATGGTCGCTTCTCTCCCTAGCCTGGCCTCGAACCCGGCAACGCCTCTGGCGTCGCCTCCGACTAGGAGTCCTCGGATCGAACGATCGAACTCGTCGCGATTAAGGGTGTTCCATCGATCAGCAGTCTCGGTGTATATATATATTCCTAATTCCGGGGGTCGAGATGCGAGATTTCGGTGGAAAGACAGGCGGAAAACGGTTACATTGTCGGGCGCAACGACAAAGGGCGCCCCCTCTCAGCGTTTCGAGGACTCTCGAGAGGAAGACGCGTCGCAGACACGGTGGAGCGGGAAAGAAAAGAGGGAAAAAACAGTTGCGAGGACATTTTATATTCGTGGACACGCGCTGGAGAGACGCATTGTGAGTCGGGTACAAAGGGGGTGCAATTCCGACGGCGCGTTTTCGCTCAAACAGCTTTCAATCGGTTTTCCATTAGGACCCTCCCTTCCGCCCGTGTCGACAATGCCTCGACCTGGTCTCTTTCTGGGGGGTTAAGTGGCCGTTGAATGGAGAGCGAGAAGAGGAAGCTTGGAAACTCGATGCGACGTTTTTCTATGGAGAAGTTGCGCGATGGTGGAATCGGTAACCGTTCGTCCACGGGGTTTCGCGCGAGCCGAACAGGTGTAGAGAAGTCCCGGGGTCCTTTCACGGGCCCGTGATCCGGGCCCCGCGCAGGTAAGAACACGGGCTCGCGTTTCCAATCCCCGGGACGGGGATTAAGGGCGGCCGATTTCACGCGATCCCGACTCGGTGCGTGGCTTCTTGATTCTGGAAGCTGCGAGTGATCCTCCTTCCACGAATAGGGGAGAAAAGGGATCCTCGTTCGCGTCTTCGATCCTTTCGAGATCTCCTCGACCGTCGCTGTAACCGAGTCGTCCGTCATTCTTGTACCCTATCTTCTATATAGAGTTTAGAGACCTCGTAACCTGCGATTCGCTGGTAGCCCGTGTTTGCAAATAAATTTCGGGACAAATTTGGGATCAAAATAATCGTCAACTGTGTCCCAATAATACTGCGTTCATCTCCGATCTTCATCGTGCACGAGTGAGCTACGATACGAGAAAGTAGACCGCCGGAGACCTCTAGTTTGCGAGGTTCCCGAGGCTTCCGAATAACGCCACGGTCTTGGTAGTTGAAAATCGGCGAATCGCGGTACACAGGACGACTCGGTGTATAGTCGCGTTACAGGTGTGATATCTGTGTGTTTTCTTTTTCCAAAACTGTCGCTGCAGAGCGCGGCGAGGCGGGCGGGCACCAGCTGCGCCAACTGCAAGACCGCGACCACCACGCTATGGCGGAGGAACCAGGCCGGGGAGCCAGTCTGCAACGCGTGCGGCCTCTACTACAAGCTGCACAACGTAAGTAATCGATCATACATTCCCTCCGTATCGACGTTTCCTCTGGATCTCCAGCCGGGACTAATGAACCGTCCTCTCGGAACCCGCGACTCCACGATCCTCCTTCTATACCTCTCGCGCAGTCCTGCGAGCCTCTCTGCCTGTCGGGTACACGCGGATCAACGTACGTAGCATTCTATTTGAGGACTTCCGTCCGGGATTCAGGACGGATCGAAAGCGGAAGATCCGTGCCACTCGATACAATGTTTCTCGTGAGAGGGGGCCGCCGACAAAGGGCCCGGGGTATTAAGCGACCGGGTACCAGATCCGGCGAATGAAAGCGGTCCTTCGATAAACAGCGGAGGCAAAAGGTCGTTCTTTGGCCACCATCGAAGCCACCGATCGCAAACCGGCCCGTGTAACGTAATATCCGATCGCTATTGTCGCGACCAAGCTCCTCCAGCCCCATTGTCGACCCGTGGAACCTAATTCCCCGATCCTCTTTCTCCAGCCAGCCGCAGTGGCCGGATTCCGCTCGCATTCTCCGCGACTTTCACCCCCGGATACCAAGTTCCTCGAGTAAATCTCTCCGATAAATCCGCGCTCCGTTGTTTTCCACTCGAGCCAGCCCTTCCCATCTACTAGACCCTCTGTGTTGCGCCAACAATTAGGGTGGCTAGCCGGACGTGCGAAGAGCACGCCAGGATGCCCCCGGTGGCTACCACGGGGTTGGAGCGTGCTCAACGGCGTGTGACACAGGAAGCGGAGAGGAAGACAAAGGGAGGAGGGAAAAACGGACTTCCTGCTGCGAGTTTTTCTCAGCAACTCGGTGTGCATCGCGGGCAAGAAGGATGGCCTTTAGCGGGGACCTGGTGGGCGTCGACCTCTCCTCGCGATTCCTCTTCCTCTTCAGCGTGCTCGTGGCCGAGGGGAATTCGATCGTTCCCGTTTGGTCTTTCGCGAATTTCTCGCGGCTGGCCTGGGAGAAGGCCAGAAATAAGGCGCGGGGGATCTCGATAAGGATTCGTTTGCGGCTCGCGCTAATTGGCCCGCGATGACACAACGGCGCCCACTGTCCCTCCTCCGCGGAAGCAAATGGTCCGTTCGAATTTACGCGGCTTTTTTCCCCCTCTCTCTCTCGCCAGTCTTCTCGGCTTATCTCCGCATCTACTGCGATGCTTCAAAGAGACGCACAGACGGACCATCAGGCCCAGCGGATTCCTCGGCAATGGAGCTGCGACTGATTTCGTACTTTGATTAACGAATCTTCGAAGTATTGCACGGACTTTCTCGTTTGTGGGATTGTAGTTGTGTATTAATAGTAACGTTCATTCTCTCGGAGTTTTTCGTTCAATTAGGGTAACAGGTGCAGTGGGATTTTCTGTTCGAAAATATTTCGTAAAATTTATTTAATCTTATTCTTCGTGGACATGGTTAGGGTTATTTCAGAGTCGCGAATCTGTAGAGAAATTTGATTTATGTGGAAATGAATATGTCCTGGAAGGGACAATTTGTATAAAGCATTTGCGTTCTTTCATTTTTATTGCACACTGTTTATTGGACACATCAAAATTATTATATTTACTGAATTTTTCTTCATTTGTTACATTTTGTATTCAAGTAATTATGTCTGTTAATCGGCTTCGAATTTTCGAATTATTACATGGACCTTGTCATTTGTGGGATTGTAGTTGTGTATTAATGATAACGTTGATCCTCTGGGAGGTTTTCGCTTAATTAGGGTAGTAGGTGCAGTATAATTTTCTGTTGAAAAATATTTTATACAATTTACTTCATTGAGAATAGGACCAAATTAATAATTAATTATTCGTTAACATGGTTAGGGTTATTTTAGTGACACGAATCTATAGAGAGGTTTGATTTGCATGCAAATGAATATGTCCTAGAGGGGACAATTTGTATAAAGCATTTGCGTTCTTTCATTTTTATTGCACACTGTTTATTGGACATATCAAAATTATTATATTTACTGAATTTTTCTTCATTTGTTACATTTTGTATTCAAGTAATTATGTCTGTTAATTGGCTTCGAATTTTCGAATTATTGCATGGACTTTGTCGTTTGTGGGATTGTAGTTGTATATATGTAGTTGTATATTGTTATTTTTATTAAACACTGTTTATTGGATACATCAAAATTATTATATTTAAAGAATTTTTGTTCATTTATTACATTTTGTATTGAAGTTATTATGTCTGCTGATCGACTTCGAATCTTGGAATTATTTCACGGACTTTGTTGTTTATATGATTAAATTAATACATTAATGATAACGTTAATTCTCTGGAAGTTCTTCGCTTAATTAGGATAGTAGGTGCAGTATAATTTTCTATTGGAAAATTTGTTGTGGAATTTACATTTATTTTTTATTCTTCATGGACATGATTAGGGTAGTTTAGAGACACGAATCTCTAGAGAAGCTTGATTTTCATAAAGGATTGATACGAGTATATTCTGGAGTGGAAAAATTGTATAAAATATTTGCCTCATTTTATTTTTGTTAGGCACTGTTATCGATATTATTTCCTTTACAAAATTTCCCTTAATTTGTTGCTTTCTGTTCATCGTTTAAATTATTGTCTATTGATAATTATGTTGATATACTGTTAGTATCATTTCTAATCTATTTTGATTTAAAAGCACATTATTCTCGACGCATTTTTCATAAAGAATATTAACTTATTTACTACTCGAAACAAAATATTAACCCTTTGCACTCGAAAATTTGTTCTCTGCAAAAACATAGCTATTCAATGCTTTCCATATATTTTTCTGAAGAATTAATCTTCTGCATTTACGCGCCACACAAGTGCAAAATAAAATAAAATTAGCTCCCCTAGTTTGGGATCACTTCGCGACAGCTTTGATTCCTTTCTAATGGATCCACGATTAATACGATCTATCCAATCGGTGACAGCGTCACAAGCCAGAGTATCATCCGCAAACCCAAGAGTGGTCAAATGACGGATCGGACGCGATCTATAGATACCCGAGATCCGATCCATCGATTATCGAATCTTCGAATCGGTTTCGGTATCGAACGCTACATTCCTCTGCAATTGGTCAACTCACGATCTTCGGGTATCGATGGATCTACGATTGGTCCGATCCATCGATCAACGAATCTTCAAATCGGTGACAAAATTGGGATAAAATCGTATCGCGATCATTCTCAGTTTTCTTTCAAATTATTCAGAATATACAAGAGCAGGTTATGTATGGTGGACTTGTCCAAGTGACTGGTTCCTGATTTTCTATCTTACAAATTATTCAGAATATACAACAGCAGGTTATAAATGGTGGACTTGTCCAAGTGACTGGATTCCTAATTTTCTATCTTACAAATTATTCAGAATATACAACAGTCCTTGGCAAAATGAATGCTGATCTTTATCGAGACAGAAACTCCAATTGTTATATATATAGATAGATACATATGTTCAATATACATATGTTTGAGTTTGGGTTTAATATCGATGAAATCGAGATATTCTAGATTCCTTTGCAGTGGATCTATAATCGATTAAAGATTCCTGAAATCGGTGACAAAATCGGTGAAAATTCGAGTACCTGGATCCAAATATCTGAGATTCTTTCGTAGAGGATCCATCGATTCATCGATGAACGAATTCTGGAATCGGTGAAGAAATTGAAAGTTAGGGTATCGTGCATCCACGAATGAAGAGTTTATTCGCGATTTCACCGTATCGATGGATCTACAACTCATTCGATCGATTGATCAACGAATCTTTGAATCGATGACAAAATTAGGATCTGTGGTATGGTATCGCGATAATTCGCAGTTTTCGGATACTCCGGATTCCTTTGCACTGGATCCACGATTTGTCGATTAAAGATTACTCGAATTGGGGAAGAAATTGGGGAAAATTCGAGTACCTGGATCCAAATATTTGAGATTCTTTCATAGAGGATCCATCGATTTATCGATCAACGAATCTTCGAATCCTTGACAAAATTGGGATCTGTGGTATCGTACCGCGATAATTCGCAGTTTCCGGATGATCCGGATTCCTTTGAAATGGATCCACCATCGATCCGATCTCTTCATTAAAGATTCCTCGAATCGGTGAAAATTCGAGTACCTGGATCCAAATATCCAAGATTCTTTTCTAATGGATCCACGACTGATTCGATCTATCGATCAACGAATCTTGGAATCGTCGATGAAATCGGTGAAAATTCGAGTACGTGGATCCAAATATCTAGGATTCTTTCTCAGAGGATCCATCGATCCATCGATCAACGAATCTTGGAATCGTCGACGAAATCGGTGAAAATTCGAGTACGTGGATCCAAATATCTAGGATTCTTTCTCATAGGATCCATCGATCCATCGATCAACGAATCTTGGAATCGTCGACGAAATCGGTGAAAATTCGAGTACGTGGATCCAAATATCCGAAATTCTTTCTCAGAGGATCTATCGATCCATCGATCAACGAATCTTGGAATCGTCGATGAAATCGGTGAAAATTCGAGTACGTGGATCCAAATATCTAGGATTCTTTCTCAGAGGATCCATCGATCCATCGATCAACGAATCTTGGAATCGTCGACGAAATCGGTGAAAATTCGAGTACGTGGATCCAAATATCTAGGATTCTTTCTCATAGGATCCATCGATCCATCGATCAACGAATCTTGGAATCGTCGACGAAATCGGTGAAAATTCGAGTACGTGGATCCAAATATCCGAAATTCTTTCTCAGAGGATCTATCGATTCATCGATCAACGAATCTTGGAATTGTCGACGAAATCGAAAGTTAGGGTATCGTACATCCACGAATGGAGAGTTTATTCGCGATCTCCGCGTATCGATGGATCTACAACTGATTCGATCCATCGATCAACGAGTCTTCGAATCGGCGAGATCGAAAGTTAAACTATCACGCGTATCTCCGCAATTAGGTTAAACAAGGACAGCTCGCTATCTCTTCAGATATCCTAAATTCCTCCTCGAGGGATCTACACCCGATC